AGTCCTCTCGCCAAATAAGACATAATTCTTAAATTTTAGGCTGAATGCTTATTTCAATCAAGTCCCAGAATAGACAAAACTCATCAATTCTGTAACAGAACACACTGGATCAGGAACCAAAAGCGTGTTCTAGTCCAGAAAAACTACGGGTTCCTCTTTCTTCCTGTCATTATACAATCCCACTGGAACTCATTACCTTGCTGTCTGCTCACTTGGCAACAAAACTCAGAGACGAGTCAACTCAACAAAGTGCCATGCTGGGGAGAAACCCCCGCAGCAGCTTAAGGGCTGCCTGCCCTCCTGCATGCTCTGCTGACCCCTAGTGTCTTCCGTGGAGACCAGGCCAATAAAGCAGTTCCCAACACTTGCAGAGTCCCACACATTAAATAAAAGCATTTTATTTTATACGATATGTTATGTATATACCCATCTCTGAAAACAGCTTTGCCAGAAGCCCAAATCTTCAACATTAATCTGCAAAGACAAATCCGGTCCGCAAGGGAAAACTAGTCCTAAGATGATACTAAGTCCTCCAAAGTCCTCTCCAGGACCATCAACCAAACTGCCTGCAGATCTGCAGCTGCAGGTGGCTACATGTCTGCTTTTAAAGCAACCCCTTCCTGACCTCGGGTGCTATAATGTCCCTCTACGCCCTCCCACCTCAGATTAAGAGCAGCCACTGCAGAACCTTGCATGTCAGCACCGACAGGACTGGACAAAGAGGATCAGAGCTAAACTAAGCCTTCTGATCACACGAGCTTGTCACTGTGTCACTTTACAGATTAAGATATATATAGAGAGAGGTGGGGTGATATTGCTCAAAGTCACATAGCTAATAAGGGGCAAAGTCTATAACTCTGCACCTCTTTCCGGTGTGATGCACCAGCTGGGATGCCCACAGGGTTCTCTCATGCCTGCCTGACCAGTCCTTTACTGTCACTCATAACCCACCACAGGGTCTGAACCTAGCCTGCCTTTTCAGCATCTTTTCCCTCCAGTCTCTCAGGCACAAGGATGCTCTGGCCGCTGTATGACTTCCGGCTTACCAAAACCTCCGTGCTCAGGCTGGTCTTGCCTGTGCATCCGGCCCACTGCTCAGAGTCTCATCCTCCCCTGCAGGAGGACTTTCCACCCTCCGCAGGGACACTCCCTCAGGGGAGCCCCCTTCTCACCCTCAGCATGGCAGGTGTCCCAGACCATAACCCTAGCCGCCCCATTAGGACTGCGGGTGCTGAGGTCTGCTAGTCAGACCAGCAGCCTCAGAGCCAGGGATTATGCCCGGGTCACCCTGCAAACCTACTTCCCCCCTCACAGCCCCCAGCCAGCAGGTCACCTGGAAGTCACAGTAATTGCCCCACCCAAAAAAGAAGTCTCTTCATTTGCCAGTATCATTAATGACTGGTCCCCAAAGTTTGGTCAGTTTTACACAAAACTGCAGATTCCAATGAGAAGTGGGGGGTTTTCACTTCTGATCCCCATCCTTACTGGAAACTTCAAGGGAAAAAAAAAAACCTTTCCTCTACCCTTTTCTGATGACACCTTCCCACCCACAATACTCACATGCTCAAGAGCTTTGGGTCCACGTGATTTTGTTTCCCTTAATCTAAGTGGCTCAAAACACTGCAGGATTCTTTCTCTTTTAAGGGTATTTGTTTGTACTGAGATTATCGGCTTTAATATGTTTTTGTCTCTCTCTTCAGTGTCCCTAGCATTTGCTACTTCTTACTCCCTTCAGCAGCCTCCCTCCCAAAATCTAGTCTAGGAAATCAGCTGTGATGAGGGGCCCGGGGGCAGTCACAGAAGATGGAACTAAAGTACAGACAGGCAACGTAATTTGCCCAAGAAGATCAGCTTCAAGTCCTAACGCTGTGTGTCATGTACCTCTGTTTAACACTTATGCAAAACTAGTTAACTTTATATAGATTATGGTTATAGACAGATGAGGTCTCAAAATACATACAAGGACACACATCAACTCTTAGATGTTCTTTAACTCCATTATTTTGTTTCTATTTGTTTTATTTCTATTAAGAAAATTAGGAACTTCTGCAGTCAATATAGCAAAATGTTAATGGGTTTTAAATCGAGAATATAGAGGCGTAAGTATATCATTACTCATAATTATTTGTATGTTCACAAGACAAAATGATTTGAAAGTCTCTCCCCCCTCCTTCTACTCGCTACTGGCTCTCACCTTAGCTCCCAGACCACACATCTAACAGCCTTTCACTTTACCCACAGCTGAACTCATCAGTTTTTCCCCAGAACTCCCTCTGCAGCTTTCCCTCCTCAGAGCACAGCAGGGCCATCATTTAGCTCATTAATTCACCCAGAAATCTGGGCCTTACTCCATCCTACCTTCATAGACATCATTCATCCTTTCCTTTTTACTATCTAAACATGTCTAAAATCTGTTAGCTTTTTCCCAGTGACTGTGCCACCGACTCTCCCACCGCTCAGTTGGAAGCCACCAACACTGCCCACCTGGATTCACGAGTCTCCCAAGTGGCCTCCCAGCTGCTCTCCCCTATTTCAGACAAATGGGATTGTGTCATTCCTGTGCTTTTAAGACTCTTTTCAAACCCACTGTTCTTAGAAGAAACTCCAAGTTCTTCACCTTGTGAAAGTGTTTGCCAAGAAACTGTCAGCTCAGGGAGGGTAGGACCCGTCATTTCCCCTCAGCCCCACCCCTGGCAGAGCATCAGTTTGGGAGGACCTCCTGAGCTACACCAGCCTGTATTCTAAACCTGGTCTTGAGTTCTTAGCAAATTGCTTCACTTATCCATACAAATCCAAGGTAGATTAGAAAGATTTTAGATGTTGAGCTAGACTATTGATTTGGGGATTTTGCAATAGCAACCTGCAAGTACATGTTCTAATGATTCTGTCTTCTTAAAACCACACCCAGATTTAAGTAGTATTTGTAGAATATCTTTGGAGTAAAAGGGACTGTATTTTAAAGACTTTATGTTTTATAACATGAACAACCCAGACAGGGTCACAAATGGAACCGACTCACTAGAGACAGAAGACAGGGGAGAGGCATATAGCAACAGTTAACAAAGATGGTAAGAGAAAAGTTGTTTCTCCAACCCCCGAAAAAATTCCTCAAAGAACCGAAAACTCTGAATTTTGAAAGTAAAATACTATCATATAAAGAAATAAATTAAATAATCCTCTTCATCAAGGTTTCAAGATCTGACTCCAGAATTCTTAGCATGCCATACTGAATCCTCATACAGGAAAGTCAGATGGACTTGTGGTGAGTAAGTTCCAGGAAAACTGCAGTAATTCCTCCATTTGTAAAAGGACATACACTTACCTGTCGAAGGTGAATGTAAACCGCATTCTGGAGAAATTTGGAAGCTTCCAGCCTCCGCTTCTGGATGGCAAGGACACGGACAGCTTCGAAGCATGCTTCAAACTGAGTCACCGGCATTCTTACACTGCAGAGGGAAAAGGAGGTCCTCAGTCAAGAGCAGACATGTTCCTCTCGTGTCTCGAAGGCTGCGTCTTGGGGACTCAGTGCACTGCAGCTGCCCGGCCCCAGGCAAGGACCCACAGCGTGGCCCACCCAAGCAGGAGGGGCACTGTGCTTGAGAAAGCCCATCCTCTATGGGGGCAAGAGGGGCTGGTGGGGTTGTGTGAACCTATAAATGCTCACAGAAATACACCTGCATATATTCAAGTGATACAATTAACAGTAGCAGGCTAACAAAATTTGAAATGTCAGTGGAAATTTTACCATTCCTTTCCGCTTGTGCCCTGTACTCTGAGACAGGCTAAGACTCTCTCACACCTGCAGCCTAATGCAACAGTTGTGAAGTTAGTTTACTTTGCTGCAAGTGTCTTTGCTCCCCGTGTCGCTATGACTGTCGTCTCTTAACACAGTCAGATGTCTTCCTGGATCTCTTCCTGAGTTCCTTGCTCCTGCTTCTCAGATCCTGAGATAAATGACAACTGAAGACACATGACCAGAAAAGGCACTGTGGACTTGAACAAAGTCCTCAGTGACCCCCTAGGTGAGTGCTGCCCACCCCTTACCTTCGATTCTCAATGTTCTGCCCAGGGTGACATCTAGACAGGAGAGTGTTCTGGGCCAATTAAAAGCTGTGTGGCTTGGGCAAGGGGACAGGTGCAGGGGCTGGTTCCAAATCGAGGCCCCTCCCCACCTCTGCTCCTCTCTCTCCCGAGGCCCCGCTGCCAAGACCCCAGGCTCCCTGATCTTCTGTCCTTCTCTTCGACTATACTCCAAGTCCTTTACCTCTTCCTTTATTCCCAAATTATCCCCAGCTGGAGTGATTTTTCAATCACAGTATCTGAAAAAATTTCCTGCAGCTGAAAATGTGTTCTCCAGAGGTCAATGCCAATATGCTGGTTCCTAAAGAGAGCCCCTGGTTAGGGGGAACCTCACCAACATTCATGGGGCATCAGACATGTTGCAGGGTCGACTACCACCAACAAGAGTTTGCTGTGACCCCAAGGCACGCACAGCATCCCTGCTCACAAAAATGTACTTGGCCTACTTATCCGTCATTATGAAGCAAAAATAAAAAAAAATTGTTCATGATCCTCACTAAAACTATTTATGAGGTGGAAAAAAATTATAAAAGAAAAGAACAAATTTGACTCCATGCTAGATGTGTTCCTTTGGCTGTAAACCTGTGTTTGTTTTCTAGGCTCAAACTTGCTAGCTCTGCACCTTTTGTAAAAGAAAGTTGTCTTTAGCTTGAAATATCCAGGAAAGCCTAATCTCCGGGCTCTGATCTTTAAGGATGTTAACTCTTCTGCACTTATATAGAGATGGCAAGTTGCAAAATGAGAATAAACTTTGCTTTTTTTGGAGATTTTACTGGGGCACCATGATTTGACCCACATGGACAGCTGCAAAAACAAAGGATTCCAAGGACAAACAATTCATACAGCAAGAAGTTTGCAACAACCAACCACACCCCCGCCCCTTTTTAGTATAAAAGGAGACTGAATTCTGATTGGGGAACAGGGTTCAACAAGATATCAATATGCCATCCTCTGGGTCTGCAAACTTTTCAAATAAAGTCACTATTCTTTGCTCCAACACCTCATTTCCCAATTTATTGGCCTAACATGCAGCAAGCAGAACGAGTTTGGACTTGGTAAAATGACTGCATTGGAGGTAGTATGTCTCCACTGTTTCCTCATTTCCAATATGTCACAATCTATCAATTTTATATGCTGTTTAACAACACAACCCAAAAACCTATCATAGGGAATTGATTCCACGGAAATAAAATTATTTCTACTCCTTCAAAACTTTTTTCTTTTCTGTTTTATTTTGTTTTGCTTATTGAAAAGAAAATAAAATATCAAATAATTTAATTTCACGTATTTTTGTTATAGCCACTTATTTTAAATACTACAATGAGATTTAAATTGCAGTAAAAAATTGTTCACATATTAGTATAAAGATATATATACAATCAATGCAGATTAGGAAAGGAATGGATATTTACTAAAAATCCACTGCACATCCAGTCTTCTACAAGCATATCCTGGAATATACACTATATGATCCAGGGGTCCACCATCCCCATTCTCACTGCTGAGTCCCTTAGTAATCAACAACCAAGGCACCAGCATAGAACCACTCTATCAGTATTTTAGGTATAAATGAGGGAATTAGCTCATTCAATTCTAAAACAAAAACCTTAATATAAATACTGAACTTATTTACAGAGAAAGAAAATTCGACACAAAAAAGTACAGTTTCTTCCCCAAGGTCACAAAGCTGATAACTGGTAAAGGCAAAATTTGAACTCGTCTGCCTGATTCTAAAAACTAAAGTGGAAATCCCATTCGACTGTGGAGGGTCCAGCAGCACAGCCTATCACCCTATCTTTGTTCAGAGCTAGCCTTAGCCTGAGACAGCGCCCCATTCCTATGGATCTCGAGGGCAAACGACAACAATGAGGATTTTTTATCCAGCAGTTTCTTAGGTCTCATTTATATAAAGTGTTAGCAGGTCATCAGAAAACTCTGGGAAATATGAGTGGGTCCAGACCTTTTTGCTGATTAGAAACTCAGTCTATCAGGACAGAGTGACCTTCCCATGAGAGGCCACATGGACATAAACTAAAGGCAGCTGAGCAATGAAAACTAGCAAGACCCTGGAACTCAAGAAAGAAGGATCCCTGCCACCCCCACACAGTTGCCCATCCACCCGCGTGGACACGATGGCAGAAGACCCGGGTTCTTGTCCAAGTTACACTATCATGGATTCTCACCCATAAAAACTTATGACTCTATGCTGTCTTAAGTCCTTTCTAACTCAAATATGATGACACCAATATCTCAGAAGAATATCTATGTCTCCACTTCCTCTCTTCTATTAGGAGAATAGAAATATGGCCACAATGCAGAAATCCAATTAAACACACCATGCACGAAGCCAGGTGAAAGTCTGCGTAAGAGACTTTGTTCTCACGCTCAGTGAATGAAAACTCAGAAAAAGTGGCCCTTCTCCCTCAGCAAGTGGGATATAGGCTGATTGTGTGTGTGTGCGCGTGTGTGTGGGTAAATGAAATACAATGAATTCTGGGATGTGTACTGATTTTTTTATGTTACTGTCATTTCATGAGGATGAGCAATCCTTTAAAGTAATTTGAATCTAGTGTTCTGAGAGAATCTCAGGCACTTTTGTTGGAGGAGGGGAAACGGGAAAGAAAGGAGGAAAGAAGTAAATGAAGCAAAGGAGTAAATTTACTGTTAGGGATAGGCAAGACGTTAATTTTGTTCCTACTTGCATCACACACAAATTAGGGACTGGCTTTCCCCCATGTCTTGTCAAGCACTGAGTTGCAGAACAGGCGACAGCCCATTTCTCACTGAGCTTCTGACTGTACGTGGCATCTTATACACACAAATCATATATCCTGATCAAACACTCTTGCAGTAGGCCATAATTCTCCTGTTTTGAGAGACAAGAAAACAGGAGTTCAAAGAGGGTATATAACTAGACAAAAGTCAGAGGACCAGTAAACAAGAGAGGATGAAATCAAATTCAGACCTGAATGCAGAATCTGATCTTCCCACTGCCAGGACTGGAATGCCCTTAACACACAGGATCCCCAGCTCCCCTGCAGTGTTCATGGTACCAAGCATTTCCCATGGCAGTGGGCTTCAGTTCTCACAGACACAGTGCTCTGTGCAGCCAATGGCCTTCTTCGGACCTTGATCATCTAGATGCAATGCCCACCAGGCTTCACCATAAAGGTAGGAAAGCTGGCTTTCAAGTGCATACAAAGCCATCCCTGGTCTAACCTGGGCTCTTCTGCAGCATCTCCAGCCTAAAGGCAGCCATGAAACTGCTCACAGTTTGTACATGAGCAACACTACCTCTCTCCATCTCTCTCCCCACCTATACTACTTAGCTATAACCATTTTAAGAAACTTGGAAACAAATTTTTAAAAACAGAAAAGAAAGGATTCTGGAACAAGTAATTAATACTTACAATTTTAAATGACAATTTAACAAAGTGAGAATTTACAAACCAAATCTGCCTTCCTAGGTGTCAGTTTAAACAGTTAAAAAAAATAGCAAAAAATTCTCATATACAAAATTAACAAAAACTTCAACAATAATCTGGAATAAACTCAAAATTAATGTCCACTTTCTACATGGAGAAACTACAGTACTGTGTTTAGGGGTAAAGCAAAAGGTGTGAATGTAGAGACATCAACATATTACATGGAGGAAAGCAGTTTTGTAAAGATGCAAGTTCTCCTAAAGATAATTCAAAACTTACTAAAAAATCCCATGAAAACTCTTATCTGTTTTTCTTTTTTACTTGAACAAAGTATTTTAGAATTCTTCGGGAATAATAAAGTCATAATACTAGCCAAGAAAATTTGGGATGGAAGAAAAGAATCAAAAAAAACTCACTGTCATATATCCATGAATGACTGAAAAATTGTGCCGAACACTGGAATTTGACACAACATTGTAAAATGATTATAAATAAATAAAAAATGTTAAATAAAATAAAATAAAATAAAACCTCAAAAAAACACACTGTCAAATATTAAATAAATTTTTACAATATGTAAGATATAGAGCTGGAATAAGAAAGTAAGATTGAGAATAATAAATAATGAGCACAAAAAGAGACTCTTGTGTACATAAGTATTTTGTACAGGTGGGATTTGAAATCAAAGAACAAAGCATGAATTCAATAATTGTCCTTGGACAATCAGAGAATCACCTGGAAAGAACAAATTCTATTCCTGTCATAATGACCACAAGAAGAATTACAGATAATGATGTAAATATTAGTAACTACTAATAACAGCAAATACAATTCTTTGCTCATATTAATTCAACTTCTCCTCACTATAACAAGTACTATTATCATCTCCACCTTAGAGATTTAAAAAAACCTGTAGAAGAGATTTGTACCATTATAAGAAAGTATTTCTAAGAATAATACAAAAGATAAAACCCAAAATGAAGACATTTACTATCTTAGGAATATTTTGGGCCACAACAAAAATAAACCTACTTAACAAAATGAAAGGCAAGAAATGACAAGGAAAAGCTCTGTGATACATGTTCATGAAGACAAGGAGTTAATGTTCATAACATAAAAAGAGCTGTCACAAAGCAACAAGAAGCTCCCTCACTTAAATGTGTGCAAAGGACAAAAGGGATCATTCACTTTTAAAAAGTCAGAAGGCTAATGAGTGAAAAATGGTCAATACCTCACTGGTCATCAAATGCAAACTAAAACAATGAAAAAGAACTTCTGCTCATCATATTGGCAAAATTTTTTAAAAGATATTCTAGCTAGTGTCCATCTGTGAGAGAACAAACTATGAGCAAACTTTTTGGAAGACGACATGTCAATGGATATGTAAGCTCTAAAAAACGTACGTACACACAGACTCAACTCCACTTCTAGGAATAGTTTCGTTTAGAAAAAAAATCATTTCTAAAAGATGTACTCCTCAGGGCATTTACACAGCACTGTTTACAATGGTGGGAAGAAAAGATGAAGTGAAATCATATCCAGCGATAGAGAATTGGTTACATAAGTCATTCTACATCTTTTCACTCCCCACTGGAGAAGGAATTTCTTGAGTCACTTGAAAGTAGCCTGTGGTGAATGTAAATGTCACATCCAGGGACTAAATTTCCAGAAGCCTTAACTAAAGGAATACCCATACAACATCACAGGAATGTTTGTACAAGAAGGATGCCAGTCAAACATCCTTTCTGAAAGTGGAAAATGGAGAAAACCTAAGTGTCCACCATCAAGAAAATGATGCGGTAAATCACGGTGAGCTGTGGGCTCTGAGGGGGCCAGCGTTTAAGCATGGTCCAGGGCCTTATTCACAGCACTCTTTCACCAAAGTTGTCCTTGCACAAGAGACCACACCCGCACACCAGGAGAACCCTCCACTCTATCTGAAATAACTGGGTGAGTCTGGAGTGGGAGGATGTCTATGAAATACTCCTGAGTGAATAAATCGAGCTCCAGAAAACATATAGAATGGCCTTATTTTTCAATTAAGCATATATACACACACATACACAGAGTTCTCATATACGTGTATGTATGTATGTGTATATATATATATATATATATATATATATATATATATATATATGTCATAGGCATAAAAGTCATGAAATATATACACCACATTTTCAACAGCATTTACTCTCAGGAAATAAGGGGAAGGGAGGTAGGGGCCTTTTGGTACCACCGCTGTTCTCTTTTCAGTATTTCAGTTAAGTATACTTGGAATTTAAAAGTTTATTTAAGTCTGAAGCAAAATGGACGATGCCTCCACAAGACAGAATGCTATACTGGTCATTAAAATCATGTCAGGGGAGATAGAATATTGTAGAAGTTCTTGTAATAAGCTGAATGGAAAATGGAGGTCTCCACACAGTAAATAGTCAAAGAGTGCTCACTGGTTTTCATGACAGAGTTTATACACACTGACGAAAAGAACAGAAAATAGATGTTAAACTTAATTATTATCTCTGAGTAGTGGGACCAGGAGAGCTTCTTTTGCCCCTTTTTTCAGAATTATTATATTAAATACACATTATTTTTCATCTGAAAAAAACATTTTTAGATGTCTAGTACCATGAATTGGAGAAAATACACGAGTATTTACAGAAACAAATAACTAGGAGAGATGGCAGCAGTGTCACACAATGTAGAAAGGGCGATTCTCAATAACGCCACGCAGTTACACAAGGACCCACAAAGTGAGAGCACGTGCTGTAACAAGGCGTGGCCCCCTTCTATTTGTCAGTTTTGTCTTCAGGGCTGAGGCAGTTCTGAGCACGGCCAGTGTCAGTGCTGGTGTCTGGATGGATGCCACTGGAGGTGAGGGTACCTGCAAGCCGAGAGGAAGAACAGAAACCACCCTCTGCTTTTTCTGTCCTGTTTCTTTGTTACTTTAAAAGAGATGCATAAATACGATAAACTGCATAACTTCCCTACTGAAATTTCAGTAATGTAATCGTTTTAAAGTCTTCACAGCTTATAATATGCCTATAACTGTCTTTTCAACAAAGCATCATATTTATTAAATGTTAATTAACTCAATTAAATCCCTGTTGAAACCTTCTATTAAAGAACATGAAATGCACTATGTAAAAGCAACACGCCTGCAGTGACTACCTTAGCTGTCTTGATGGCAGTGCAGTCAGAACCCACCATCACGTGTCCCTGAGCTCCTGATGCTGGTAAGACAGCACGGTGCCACCTCAGATGGAGAAAAATGTGAAAGCATTTTCTGAAATCTACAGCACTGACAAAACATAACTAACAAATCCCAGGCTCCTTTGAGGCTGTCATTCTCTGTTTCAGGCCAACACCCGTCAATGAGCAGTACCACTCCATTCCCGAGCCTTGGGACTCATGTGGGAAGCAGTTTTGGAGAAATTTCCAGGTATAGAATGTAACCAACTATACATAGAACTGTGCCAAAGAAAAGGTGAAATACTCTGATTTTGGAAGACACTCAAAATATTCTTCAAAGCCTTAGTACCTGGAAAGGCTGGGCTTCTCCTAAACCACTTATTTATTTCACAGTCAGTGAGCATCTCCCACAAATCCTGTTTCCCTGTGTCTGCTGGGAACCTCAAGCATACACTTGCTGTCGAATTTATAAGTCACAGGGCAGACACGTGTGTCTCACGCCTGCAACCCTCACACAGGCTTGCCTCCTAGCCTCACTGTCTAAACTTGGCTCCATTTTATCACCTGTTTATTTGGTATCTGTTCTTCTGAAAGCTGCCTGAAATGCTTCATAGAACAAGTCAGAAGAATGAGTGGGTAGATAAATGGACAGATGGACAGGTAAGAGATGGGCAGACAGACAGGGAGACTCCAAAAAAGGGGAACAAAGAAAATTTTCTATGCAAAACCCTCTTCTAGTCAGCGAAGAAAACCACCACGGAGAAGTGTGAAGAGGCAGGTAGCTTAGGACTGTTTCCTGGATTCCATGAAAAGTCACACCAAGACATGAGAGTGTACAAGTATCAATAATAAAGTAAAAAGATGCATGCATGCTTGAAAAATATATCTACAATATGTACTTTCAAAAGAATAGATTCAAATCAGCAGGGTGCAATGACACAATCCTTGGGTATTTACAGAAGTGAGAATCCCATCTCCAAACCACAAGGCATCCCTTTGGAGCACAGAGAATCTACATTGGGCGGTCATAAAGCCGTCACCGCAAAAGCTATGCTATCCTGCACTTACGAGGAACGAGCAGCTGTGCTCAGGCTGCTCACGCGCATTATTTACACCCCACAGCACCTCTACGAGGGGGACGCAAGCAAGCAAGCTCTGCAGGACAGCAAACAAGTCCAGGAGAGGCTAAGCCGACCTACCAGTTCTCTATCTCACAGGACTGGTCACTCCAGAGCAGGACTCGAACTCGGGCCCACAATTGTAACCATAGTACTACCATGCTTTATGTGCTTTTTGTGTGTATAATACATTTGTTTCTGGCATGAAAGGATATTTAATAAATAATCGGTTGTCTTGTCTATCTCATTAGCTCACAATCAATCTTTATATTGTTGTATTGTACTCTTTTACCCTGGAGAAAGAATGGAAAAAGCTGGGGTCAGAATGAGTTGGGGCTCCATTCTTTATCTGGTACCTCATCTCATCCAAGTCCCCAACCAGAGTGAAGGAGCAAAAGTTCTCTTCATCTTTTAACGAGAGGGCTCCACTGATGGTGACATACTCAACTCCAAAACCAAGGCTGGGGAAGTGCATATGCAGCAATCAGAGCAGTATCACCTGTAGGAAGGTGAAAAGGGCTCACAGTATGGCTCAGGGGGTAAGCCTGATTTAATTTCAATTGATAAACGAATAACATACTCTAAAAATACTAGCATGCAATCGATTTGCTCTTTCTTGACATCTAGCAAGTTTCCACAACCCACATGTAACATTATCATGAACCACTGAAAGGAAGTGTCTACAGACAAGAAAAATCAATGCCACAGGTAGGCTGAAACCAAGACTGGAGGAAAGGAAGAGAAAGGGCATAGTTAAGAATTGGGGAAAGGATGGGAAAAAAATCATCACAAGGACTCTCAAGCATCATCCAACAATCATATAATCATTCATTGAAGAGAGAGTTACTGAGGTCTATACTGTGCAAGATTGTACAGTGGGCGAAACAAGAGCACAGCGACCATGGTGGCAGCAAGAGGTGGGGCTCAAATATACTTCTGATACAGGTACCTTGCACACTTGTCCTCAGTATAAAGGCAAAAAAAAGATA